GAATTTGCATAGGGGAGTCCTGGAGATGTACAGATCTTCATTGGTCCTTCAGTCCAGAAAGTTTTTTTTTTATTGGAAACAGTGCAATACATAACTGCAAAAACCTATTTTTAAAAGCCAGATAAGTGGACAGAAACATTTCTGTGGTGCTGGCTTCTTCCATGACAGTTCAGGGAATAGGTATGGTCTTCATCAGACAATAAGTTGAATATGGATATTTATACCAGGAGAATACTTCAAGTGGTCTTGTGGAACACCCCATCTCACAGTGTGCACGTGTGGAGCTTGGGCAGATGGTATGAGCACCTTCCATTATCCTAGCTCAATGCAAATTTTGGGTAAGTATATCCTGGGAGGCAACACTAGCCACCTAATTGGATCCCATGTATTGAAAGAATAGTTCTGAAAGAGAAAGAGTAGATATTCTTCTCAAAGATAGTGGGATGATTGAAGAATGGTAATCCGTGGAAGCCAAAAACTACCAGGAGATAAAACAGCCAGATGGTTTAGAGAAGGAGATGAATGTGTGGAGAGTCTTCATGCCTGCTTGCAGCTCATCCAAGGACCATCAAAGAAGAGATGTAAGAATGCAAAGAAAAAGTAAATAGTCTGCAAGTGTCTACATCCCAAGAAGAATATGTTAATGAAGGAGTTGATAGATCCATCTTATAAGGGAAGAAGAAAAGAGGTCCATGGAAAAAGAGGGGTCCCAAGATAGGGACAATCAAAGTGGGGGACCCCTAAATGAAAATGTCTGTGATAAGGCATACCAAATAGCCCAACAGGACACAGGAATCCAGCTGGGTGCATATGGTACAATAAGTGAAAGACAGAAGGAAGTGATATAGCTTCAACCCTGACAGTTAACAGGCCTTCAAATGCCACAGCAGAAATAAGACCTAAATGTGAATAATGTCCCACACTCAAGACCAATGATAAATCCCTGTTTTTTGAGAATTCATGATTAAAAACTAAAGCTTTTGGATCATCCTATATTGGCACAATTCACTTGAAATTATATGGGAGTTGGCTCAAGGCTAGTTGCATGCAACTCTCTTTGGCAGAGGAAGATAACTAATCTTTGTGTAGAGGTGAGTTATCTCAAAATTTCCATATACTGGACAGATGTATTTCAGTTTACATTAAGAAGTTGTGGGTAGTCTAACACTACATCCTTTACTGATAACTGTATTATATCTTAATTTTTAATGTCCTATATATTATTAATGTTTTTAACACACTTCTGTGGACATCCCTTAATATCAGTCAACTCATTAAGTACTTTGAGAGTATGAAAAAATATCAAATCAATTGCTATGAATTAACTTTAATATCCTTCATATCCCAATTTAAGTTCTGGTAAGTACCACACTTCTTCAAGAATTATGGACAAATCTACAATTATCATGAGTAGCTAGAGGTAGTAATTATGTACAGAGGATTAAGTATGTTATACTGAAATAAATTTGAATATGCAAATCACCAAGTTACATGACAACACCAGCCAATATAAAGTTGTGGTGCAACAACACGTATAAAACTACATTTGGACATTGCTTCCCATTTTATAGATCATGTGATGCAAACAAAAATCAATTGTTTTTGGGAATGGTATCTAAATATGTATTCAGGTGGGAGATTTAAGATTTCCAGGATGGAAATATCCCTTGTTCTTAATGGCAGTGGAAAACAAAGGAATGCAGATCAACTCAGGGCACCAAGAACAGACAAAGAGAGACCTGAAACAAATCATACTCCAGCCATGGTAAGCAAAGTGCTGCATCTTGTAACAGATGAGAATTCATAAACACAAAGGTCAGTTGCAAAAGCAATCCATTTGTCCCAAGCAAGAGTAGGTAATACATTCAAGAAGAATCTTTGTCTGGTAAATCAACACGTCTCGTCGCACGCACAAAAGTTGCATCCAGAACATATTCCTTCAACAATGGCAAATACTTCGAATAGCTGGAGAATGAAAACGGTATTCATGATATTCCATATGAAAAAATACCAGTCAAGTCACTAGTCACAGCACCTGTGTACTTATGTGTTTGACAAGATTGTTACAATAGATGTTGGGAGGAATGGTGTGATTTGGACATGACAGTCTTAAATACAGAGCCTTTTGAAATGGAAATTATGCTTCAGGACTATTTTAAAGATGCACAGTCATCAGATCAAGCATGACTAGATATGGTGTCATGGACTGTAACAACATGATGAAGCTACAAAATTGTTTTAATATGACATACTCAATCTCTGGTTTGATTCATATTTATTTGATGTATGAACTTTATTATGAAGTAAGAAAACACCACAAGAAGGACTTAGGTACCTACCATAACAATGAAAAAATTTTATACAATAGTAAAATTCTTAAAATATACTAGTTTGGCTAGTAAAATATATGTATATAGAATACAGGTGTATGCTAAAAATGTGGAAAATTTAAAACTCTTAATCCATTTCATTCCTATTTTTAGATTACTTACTTCTAATTTTCTAAACTTACATGGTTTATCCACCATAGGGATCCAAAACTCCAAATTTTAGCATTACAAGCCCCCTAGCTTACTGCTGAGCCACTGAGGAGGACTATAAAGTACTTATTCAGATCTTTGTAAAGGGTCAAGTGATATATGGTGAGAGCTATTTTTAGTGTACATGCATGGCCTGATAAATTGAAATGGCCTTTTGATAAATTTAGTTCATGTTATTTTCTGGAATGAAATTAAACATTTAAATTCTGTAATTGAATTTAATATTAGGGAATTAATTAATATTTTATGTTGTGATTAAAATGAAAGTGAATTAAAAGGCAGTGAAATGAAAGATGCAGGAAGTTTAAAAGATTGCCAGAAACACAGAGAGTTACTGGAAAGTACTGAAGAAATGCCTGATTGAAGAAGCAGAAAACATTTGCAGCAAGACAAAATGATAAAGAACTGAACAGAAGAAAGCATGGTGGTGGAGTAAGAAAGCACAGCAAACCATCAGGGAAAAGAAAGAAGCTTTCAGAGAATGGCAGATAGAGAAGGACAACTATTTATGAATGATGAACAAAAAAAATGTAAAATAGGAAGTGAAAAAGGTACAGAGAATAGTCAAACAAAGGGAAGTGGCAAAAAGAAACATCAAAATGATCAAAGTAAATAGGGACAAAAAAAAGGGAATGCTCTTGATGAATGAAAAGTCAGTTAAACACAGAACAAAGATGGAAAAAGTATTATGAGGAGCTACTTAACACCAAAAAATAAGGCAGAACAATTGAAGAAGATACCACCAATAGCAAGCCCAGTACTAGATGCCAGTAAAGCAAAGGTCAAAGAAGCAATCAAGAAAATGAAGATAGGTAAAGTGGGAGGTCCAAACATTTTCAATGAGATTGTCAAGGCACTAGAAGATGCTGGAGTTTAGTGACTCTGTTGAAAAGCATCTGGAAAGAATGGAGAGCACATACTGATACCTATCTACAAGCAGAAAGATGCTCTTGAGTATGAAAACTATAGAAAAATAAAATTGGTGGAGCATATGCTAAAAGTGAAAGAAAAAATATTGGAAAAGAGAATAAGGTAAGTTGTAGACATCAGCAAAATACAGCTTGGGTTTCAGCCTGGGAAAGGAATAATAGATGAATTCTGAAGGAAACAAGAGGTTATACCATGCATTTGTAATTTTTGGAGAAAGCATATGACAGGGTGCCATGAGAATTAGTATACTGGTGCCTCTGAAAGAAAGGAGTGCCCAAAAAGTTGATCAGACTATTGAGAGCCACTTTTGAAGGAGTGGCAACAATCATGAAGATGGTATATGAAAGTGCAGACAAGTTTGAAGTAAATGTTGGGCTGCACCAAGGGTCAGTAAATCATCCCCTGCTGTTCATCAATGTCCTCAAGATCTTGAGTAAGGAGTACAGTAAGGGACCCCAGTGGGAACTATAATTCTCTGATGACCTTGTCATAAAAGCTGAAAGTGAGCAGGAATTACAAATGCAAGGTGAAGAGTGGCAAAAGAGTTTGGAAAAAAAAAAGAGGCTTGAAAGTGACTCGGAAAAATGGAAGACAAGGTGAGCAGAAAAGATAGAATGAAGAAGGTCAAGATCAAAGATGTAAACAAGAAGCCACTGGAACAGACAGAAGACTTGAGGTATTTGGCAAGTACAATTCAAAGTGAAGGAGAAAGCTGTAAGAGATAGGATCCAGGCAAGTTGTAGGAAATGGAAGAAAGCAGCCATAGTCATCTGTAACAAGGCCACTAAAAGCCAAAGTGTATAAGACTGTAATTAGACTGGTGCTACTCTATGGAGCCGAGACACGGACCCTGAAGAAGAGAGCTTGTTGACAAAAACAGAAGTGAGAATGCTGTTGGGAAGGTTGCTGAAACAGAAGACACCAAATAAGGAAATGAAAGGAGTCTGTGAAATAGAAGAAAAGGCAAGAGAAGTGAGGCTGAAGTGGTTTGGTCACATGAAAAGAACAAGAGCTGCCAGTAGCTGACAAGAGAAGACAGGGAAAGCCAGAAAAGCATTGGAAAGATGAAATAAAAGAAGACATGAACATGAAAAGAACTGCAGAAGACCTGGTAATAAATAAATATGATTGGAGGAGGGCAACACGTGTGAATGACAGCAACCCTGCTAAAGGGAAAAGCCAAAGTATCTTATAAGAAAATATACAACAAATCATGAAAATTTCCAACTTTGAGAGTAAGGACAGTTTATTGGCCTATTATTTGCCTTATAGTTGAAGTTATCATTTAATATCACTCACACTCAGGAAGAAAAGCACTGTGATGATGAATGTGTGCTCAAAATAGAAATCAGATAGCCATATGATGTTGATCAAGTCAAAGACTCAGCTTAATTAAAAAAACTCATCCCATAATGGAATTTCAAGCTTTCATCTGTTAAATCAATTTATTTATATATTGCTATTATATTAATATTGATACATTATATTTCTATTTTTCATCCATATCTATAAAAATTCTTCACTCAGACCTCTTTTAAAACTTTTGGTTAAGATTTTATTTTTATGATCCATTTCTACAGTTAACCTCGATCATAAAGAAACTGCAACTATAACAACATAGAATAGCAGTGTTCCTAAAGTCAGTATTTTCTTTAATCTTTAATAATTAGTGCTTCCTACGTAAGTAATTTACTCAATAATTCTTGTTCCATTCTTGTTTTTCCTTCATTTCCATTTTCACCTCATTCATGTATGGCTCCAGATATCGAACATCCTGGAAATAAAATTTGTTAAAGTAAGTATAATTTAAAATGTTGTACTATTATTACACCTGTAGTAAGAATGCAATAATGCTGAAATTGTAATGATTTCTTTCCAAACCTCATGAGCATGCTGCTATTACACATGTGAAAAAACAAAACATAAATCAAACTATTTATTTTTTACTTTCTTTTTTTTCTCATCAAAACATGAATTTCGGTGAAGAAAATGTAAGGTTGAAGCTTAATCTACTCTTTCATTCGATACTCCCACTGTAACAGATTAGATTTGTCCAATTCATATTAGTCTGCTGAATAATAATGGATAATGAACTGTGAAAGTATGTTATCCAAACAACTAACATATATTAGGTTATTAATAGCAAGTAAAGGATTATTCATCAAAACCAAATTAAACTAGCTGGTGTTTTGTACCTCTTCAAATTTAGTCCACTGTTCTTTTGGAAGAATATTATGCTGTAAACTTAGCTGCATTGCTCGTAGCATACGATATGTTCTTGCATCTTGAAGGTCGGGAGGAAGTCGACGAACAGCTTCTTTTACTATCTCAGTTTCATTAAGACAATCATCATGAAGTAAACCTAAAATATTACATTAATTAATCATATTGACACATACAAAGTTTATAATAAATATAACAAGGTAAAATCGGGCTTGCAGAAAATCTTATTACTGTATATAAAGAAAGTTGGTAGTAGAGAGAACTGTTTAGAAATGGGCAGAATATTTTTGACCTCTGTGACAGAGAAGTTACAAATACTTGTAACAATAAAATATAACAGAAGAGTGATAAGTAGTATTTTGTGTGACTTAAAGTTTAGAATACCTAGTTAATTTAGATAGATTAGAACTAAATACTTTTTTAAGGTTAAATTACTACAAGTACAATTTATTAAATTGGGTGTAAAGACTAATACTCACACCATTAGGCTTAACTTTACTGTTTATGTGTGTGTGTGTAGAGAAAAGGTACTAAGCATTTTAGGCTATAGTACTTTAACTTACAAGCATTAATAATATTAGATGGAAATAAAGAATTATTAGAAGAGTTGGCTAACATTCTTGTTCAATTTTTAGTTGGTAGCTGTAAATATATAAATACTTATAAATATAAATTATTTACAATTAGCAATTAGTTGTATGTAACTAGACGTGGTAAATAACTGCCATAATTAATAAGGGATTTAGGTGTTATACTTGTCTACAATTTCATTTATGTACTGTCAAGTAGCTTAATCTCTCTCTACATATATATATGCAAATCACTAGTTGAGACTAACTTATTTAATAAAGGATAATGACTTATTGGAAAGGGTTCAAAGGAGGACTAATAGGATCAGAGGCATTGCTAGATTCGAGGCTTGTGCCCGCAGGCATGGAAAATTTTGGTGTTTCAGTATGATATTGATCATGGTTTTCTATTTTGATTTTCAAGACATCAACTGTGGATTTGGAGCAATGTCAAATAGAACTGGGGTATGGGCCCCTCATGCCAGTGCCTAGCAATGCCTCTGCCAAGGATGGAGGGATTGTCTTATTCCTTTAAAAATGATGCATTTTTAAACTTCTTTCTGCAAATTTCACTGAGTTACATTCAAAATTTAATTAAACCACTTTATTATCAATGTATTTTAATTAAATTATTATTATCAAGTACATTATAGTTCACCATTATACATTATCTTAGTTTTATTCCTTTATTTCAAAAGAAACATTGAAACAATGATGAAGTCTCTCAGATTAGTGTCATGTTATGCACAAGTTATAAACAATGGTGAAATTTGGTCGAGTATAGCTTGAAGCATAAGGAGGTAGTCATGTACTTGCAAGTCTAGACGAGAATGTAGATTACTTCCCCTTCAACACATTTCAAAGTACTTTCACTGAATGGAGTTGAAACACAAAATAAATTTTGTCAACCCTTGACTACCTTCTATAGTTAATGTTGAGCTTTAGAAGTTACATGTACTTCACATACGCATGTGTTTATAATCATTCATTAGAAAGAGTTCATTTTTCTCTATAATCCAATGACAGTCATTTTGAAATTGGCACCAAGTAGTCTTCCTTAGGTAGACATAACTGCTTGTACTACTGCTGGTTGCTTTGTTCACGACAGCACTTCAGTTGTTTCTTACTTAAAATATGTTATAGTTAGAGAAACAGTAAATTGTATTTAAATTTAACTTTTAGTTAATTATGTATTATTTGTGTCTTAAAATTCATATTTGAAAGGTTTAATAATTTTTATAAGGCATATGTTACCAAGCATGCATAAAAAAGATTTTGCCTGAGGCTAAGGTATCTCTGCTGTTCATACTGTACTATTGCCCGCGGGTACCCATTGATGTGTTTCAACAAAAATAATCAATGGTAAAGAACAAGAAAGGAAAATAATACATCAAAAGTAAACTATAAGTGAAATGGTAAAGATGTGAAATTATGCATATGACACAAAAAAGATATTTTAAGATTATTCAATTAAGAGTTAAAAAGTGTGTACATATTTCTATTTATAAATTTTAAGCATTTCACTGCAATGTACATGGATAATAATAGCTAGTTAGTGATATGGCAGAGAAAATGGAAAATAAGATATAAACATTTACCTTAAAAACTTTTGATATTCATCTAGGAGGTTATAGAGATTATGCAAGTGAAATGTAAAAACTGTAAAGTAATAAATAGTATTTTTATACTCAAAATGAAAATCACCTTCAGGTGAACTATTCAGTCTAAGTGCAAGTAACTAAATTAGATAACAATTTTTTTATTAGAAATAGTAGAAAACCAAAGTTAAATATTTTATTTTTCTCAAACTACATCCTTTTCTGGATGCTCTTGTCAAGTTTTAAACAATTTTATCCACTTGTTCTATTATTGGAACAAAATTAAATAAGAGTTATGTATGTGCTTCACTTTATGATACGTCATTGTCAAAGGGATATGATACCTTTTAACCTATTTTCTCTTGAGAAAAGGAGAGTAAGAGGTGATCTTATCAAGGTTTATAAAATAATCCAATGGGTTGAAAGGATAGAGGCCTTTAATTTTTTTGTTCTGTATCCAGAACAGAATGGGATGAGAGGATGCAAGTTTAAGATTTGGGGAGAAAAAAATGGGTTAGGCTCCAGTTAAGACAGTTTTGTTTTTCTAAGAATGCGTTTAGTTTAAGAAATGAGTTGACATTGGAAGTAGTGAAGGTTAGCACTGTACAGGTGTTTAAGAGGCGAACTGATGAATATCTGAAAAATAAAGGATAGGATTAAAATTTTTATTTTTCTCATGAGTGGATGTGCAAGGACAGCCTTGAAGGACCAAATGCTTCTGTTTGTCTATGTTGTTTTACTGTGAAACAGTTTTGAATATTTCATCTTTTGAGAGAAATATCTGTCCTCTGAAAAGTTAAAAGTAAAGAATTAATGGTAATGGCCAAATGCATATGTAAAAAGACTACAAACGAGTTTTGGCTCACTACTGTTAGAAATATTAGAGCTATGGAACTTTAAATTGATATGATCACTGCTTACCTAGTTTGTTGTAGCCTGTCAAGTTGAAAGCCCATCTACGTAGTGCTTGATTGCCTATAAAAATATAAGGATAATATATAAAAGTATCTCTACACTTAAATTTTCGTTTTAGGTAAATTTTTATTCCATATATATATATATATATCATGCAAATATACTTTTCTTCTCTGATAAAATTAAGTACTTTTTTCCTTCCTTCAAAATATATCTTCAATGTGATATAGTGATCACATTAACACAACAATTTACATATGGGATGTAAAATAAATCAACTAGATGTAACAAACACTTCCTATGAATTAACAGAATGCATAAAAATGGTAAAAAGATGAAATAGTAAAGTAAAATGAGTCATAACCCTATCAAGACTGGAAGAGTGTCACTGATATTATTAATTTATAAATTCTTACAGTGGAAGTATTAATCTAACTGCATTAACTTTAAAATCAACTTGGTAAATGCTTAAGCATTATCTAGTTTTCATTTAAAGAAATTAATATCGTTTTATTTAGTTTTTCTATCATTTTCTACATTGTGAAATATCAGAAATTTCATTGTGAGGCAGTATATTAAAAAATTATTGAGAACACTTCCGTTCATTTCAGAATTTCAATTCTTTTAAATATTGATCAAGAAATTACACAATCTCATTCTCAAGGCATGAAGAAATCACTTGACTAAAGAACACAGTAGCCTTGATTATTCTTTGGATGGAAGGGCCCAATGTTGAACATTTCAAGTGCAGACTGTGATCAAATTCTTCACTAAAATTACAATAGTAACAATTTAACCTACCTTTAAAACTACTTCTGTACTTTGTTCCTACACTACACTTTTCCCTATATCTAATTTTTTTCTGCATTTAGTTTACACTGGTTTTCACCAGTCTAGTGTTAGTTTACAGCTGCCCTTGCAGAAACAAGTTAATAGCCTTGCAAACAAGCCAGGTCCTTTGCTATTTAAGTGCAAGTCATCCACTCCAAAAAAACTTTCTTTTCCCATCAAACTGATATCATGAGTCAAACCAACCAATCTCCTCATCTTTATTAATCTAAGTTTAGCATTCAGTGTTAGTAGCCTACCTATGATCATTTTCCCACAATTAGGACTCAGCAGTATCCCTAACTGAATTAAGTTATAGTTCTTTACCTTAAATGCCTTTATCAACCCCTATACTTATACATTAGCTTCTCTGATCTACCCTTCCCTACATCATTAGCTCCTATATGCAAAACAAATACAGCAACACTGCTAGCACCCTTAACTATCTAATTTGCTCTATTAGTTATGTCCTCCACCCATGCCCTAGATAGCATAATCTTGTTCTTTTCTCCTTGTTTACCCTACAAGCTATCTTATCCATGTACCATACCCAAGAACCACCTATAAGTTATCACTATAATCTCCTTAAGTTTTACATTACTATCCCTATCTCCATTTCATTTCCTTTCTTTCCAAAGTTCCTCTTCAGTAAACACTAAATTCACTAATTCTAGCCTTAATGTTGCTTCTGACTCCCTGAAAGACATTCTAGCTACTGCATCTCTTGCATGTAAGAGATCAAATTCCTTTTTAATTACTGCTGCAATTTCCCATGCTTTACATTTCTCTTTCTTTATACCCTCTACTCTCTTTAGGACAAACACCACTTTCTTCTCCAACCTGCAAGCTACAGATCACACATCTTCACTACTAGTTTCCTTAAAAGTATGTTAGTCCTGAGTTCTCAAATAAAACCAACTTCTTTCACTTATCACATCCTTCAAATTGTGGGCCCTTCAAAAACTTTTTAATTTCTGTACTTTAAGTATTAACTTAATTACTTTAGTGTGAAAATAAAGTAGCAGTAAAATAGTGTAACATATTTAATTATCAAACATGAGGTTTAATAGTGTTGGTACTTGTATTTATAGTATTTACAGTGTTGATTATTCATTCAGGTTGCGATGGCTAAGAAGAATGTAAAAAAACCTAATCATTTTTTTATTTTTTTTTTTGAGAATGTTACTTGTTATATGGATGATGGAAAAGATGTTGAATTAATGTACTTAGATTTTCAAAAAGATTTTTATAGGTTGCCACACAACAAGTTATAACAACAGTATGGGTTGTAAAAAGACTAGTTACTTTGACTGTAGGGTGGTTGGATGGGAGAAAGCAAAATGTTGCTATTAATGGAATAGAGTCAGATCAGACTTTTATTTCTAGTGGAATGCCTCAAAGGTTAATAATTGGGCTTTTGCATTTTATTTTTTTAAATTAATATTTATAAGGTAATAATTAGTAATTCAATAAAATCTGCTGAAAACATTAAACTCTTGAATATTTCTAACTGTATTGAGAATGTTGGGATATTACAGAATGGCACCTATTCACTTGTAAGTTGGTCAAATATATAGTAAATGACCTTTAAATTTTTATTACACTTAGTGCAAGATAACATGATTAAGTTATCCTAATTTGAATCCAATGTTTAATATAGATGGGGAATTTATTCAATAGCATGACTCAAGTAAATGATCTTGGCATAAACTGATAAAGTGGTGGATGTCACCAAAACATTGCTCTGTTGCTTGTAGTAAAGATTTATAGATACATTCATCAAATCAATAAATGTGATTACATGAGGTAACTAGTTGCTTAAACAAATTATTAATTTGGCCTCAGTTGGAACATTGTGTACAGTTGGTCTTACTTATAAAAGGATACTGATTTATTGGAAACGGTTAAGAGGGTGGATACTACTAGTACTAGGAGCAGAACTAGAAAGATTTTAGAGATGGAAGTTATCATCAAAGATAAGCAAATTATTTTCCTGTGAGAAAAGAAAGATAATAGGCGATCTTTTATATTATAAAGTTACTCATGGGATCAAGAAAATAAGGGTTTCGATTTCTTTGTGCTATAATCTGAAGATAACAAGACGAAAGGACACAAGTTTAACATTTGGAATAAGCAGAACAAGATCTAGGTTCCACTTCCAGTTAATTTTTCTTACAGAGTAACTAAATCATGAAATGAGTCGCCGTCGGCAGCCGTGGAGGCCAGCATGTTTCATAAGTTTAAGGGTGGAACTAATAATTTCCTGAACGTGTAAAATAAAGGGTGGGTTAAACTAAAATTAAATTTTTAGTTTTACTTTTCTCAAGCAGGACGGGTGTACAAGGGCAGCCTTGAAGGACTAAATGTTCTACTGTATTCTCATTGTTATCTTACTTGAAGTTTATTAAGTTTAAATATACATTGTTAAAAATCACTCATACATTTACCCGAAAATGACCTTCTACAGCATAACAGTGACCTTACCGAAAATCCTCGACACCGCCATTTTGGTTAGATAAAATACTTTAAAGCGAGTGAGCGACCTCTTACACTTAAATATTCTCAGTCCTTAAAAAAATAAAATATATACACCCTACATAAGGAAGACATGATTAGTTTTTCTTGTATCTTTCTGATAAACAAAAGATATAAACATATTTGGTATTTTTTAATCTTGGCAGTAGATTTATTATAAGATAGATGGGCTAAGTGACTACGTCAGAGACACCAAGGCTCAGATATGGTCATCCGCAATGAGGGTAATCAGTCAGAAGTACATGTTACATATGGGCCTATATTTAAGCAAATAATTTCAAAGTAAATTAAAACCTTACAGTGTAACTGATTATAAACTCATAAAGATCGTTGACCGTGTATATATTTTGTAAAGCATCATGGCGTATCTCCAATCTAAAGCTGGGGGTAATAAACATTGTAATGAAAATTAAATTCCAAGAGAGATATTTAGCTTAATTAAAGCAGCCTGAAACACAGTTTAAAATATTCGGATTTGACTGATTGGTTGTTTTGGACGTTTTGGCAAAGGCTACCTGCACTAGCCGTCCCTCATTTTGAACTGGTTGATTAGACGGAAAACAGTTAATCAACAACATCCAACGCCAACACTTAGGCTTATCTAATCGAATAGTTGGATTTTACTGTCACCCTTATAAAGCACCCAAAATACGGAGTACGATTATTTGCAAAAACGGGATGTAAACTATAGATTTTCCTTTTCACAGTCCGGCACAACATCAATTATACCATGCCCAGCCCACTAACATATCTAAACAAATTTTATAATATCTGTTTTCTTCCTCAAAATTAGATAACTTCAAAAGGTACTGTGCCAATAGTTTAAATAACGTAGAATTAAAATCGGACAAAATGTACTATGGACCCTCAATCAAGTTAAAAGAGGAAATAGCCGGTTTGATTTTTAAAATAGGCATTTTCTTATTTCTATTAGCAGTATATGTTTCGAAATTGTTCACAAATCTTGGTTATTCATTTTATAACGAAACATAGAACTTGAGATGATGAGAAAAATTATAGTCAAACTAAAGCCACTTTCTGAAATCCTACCAACACTAATTCCCTTTTTTTCCAGAAAATTTAAACACTAGTTGTTTTCTTACTTTAATGTTAAAACATTATCCCCGAGAAAAGTAGCAGATATTTACGCTTAGTTAGGAGTCATCTATCAGCAAAAACGAAAAATAAAACTTCACAATAGTCGTATAAGATTGGGGAACTAAATATTGATGAGAGAAGCAATATAACTGAAATAAATTGAAATACACAAGAGACTTCCAACTAACATACCTCTTTGAGAATTAGCCTAAGAAACTCATCTGTAACATGGTAGAATCCTCCTTTACTCATTTCACCTGTAATCATCAAGGCATAAGGTTTAGATTTACTTTTAAATTTCAAAACCCTAAATTACACTTTAAGAGAAAGTTTTCATAATTAATCAGTCCTGTGCAATCCTTGAACAGTTGATGACCAAGAATGATAGATATTTGTTTACTATCATAAATATTTTATTCCATCTAAATTTGTAAGCTCCTTTATCAAACGAAAAAGAGCTTATTGAAACCTATTGATTAAACCTGGTCAGATCAGTAGCAGTATAAAATAAAAATGCTTCAAAATCCATTTTTGATCAGATGTACAGTTTATAAACAGCGGTAAAGTACTTTCATATGGTTTTCAAGATTTTCCATTAATAGCTTGGAGAAGGTCCAGTCATCTACATCATAATTTGACAATCAATACACCTTAATGGCCTCACTTAGTATTCAAAAGCAAGACTAGAATTTCTTTTTGAGATGAGATGAAATCAATCTTTCATGTAGTTTTACTAGAATATATTAGAGGTGACTACGATAATGAGCAAAAAGCATATCGGAACATTTAATAGCAACAAAACATTAGTCCCAAGAAAATGCTTACTTGTGCGCTCTTCAAGGAACTGCCAAAATATATGAAGCCTAATTAAGAATTTGTAATCTTTAAGATAATAAGTCTAACTAGGCTTCCTTATCTTACAGAAGGAGACCTGGTGGTTATGGCGTCGACTAGCAATTTGCGGGTGGCGAGTTCAAATTCCTTCACTGAACATGCTCATCCTTTCAGTCGTGACCGTGATAATTAAATCCTATAATGCTTGTAAGCTGTTTCGTTTTTAAATTTTTGTAAGATTTTGTTTGTATGTTGAATTTCGCGCAAAGCTACTTATACTTATTTGTGTAAGCCGTCCCTAATTTTGAAGTGATAGCCTAGAGGGAAGACAACTAGTCAACACCACTCACCGCCGATTCTTGAGTTGGGTTTTACCAGTAATGAGATTGACTGTCACGGCGGTGCTGTTTGAAATCAACTCATTTTGCTAAACAGTAACGGTAAAATTGCCCTAACATTCTCTGGGCTCTAGTTCTTAATGGTAAGTAAATCAATCCACCACATTTTTCAGATACCCCTTTCCCCTTCTTCCTAAACCTTCTGTCATGGAGGACGTAATTAGTGCTATATCAAGATAAAATATCACCAGCAAATTATCTAATAGGGCAATTCTTTTCTGTGTTCTTCAAAGTGATACAACACTAATTAGAATTTGAGGCAAATCTTGTGGTTTCACTTACTAAACCTAAAAGTATGATAACAAAGATGTTAAAAATATTGAAACTTTTTATTTTACATGTCAGTGTTATAGTATTTTCTCAGTGTTAAAAACCCACAGTTGAAATCCTTAATCTGCTGTTACCAAATAAACTCCCGTTATAAAACAATTATGTACTTGTGGTTAACAATTAGTAGCATTGTGAAAGTTTTCTTTTATCCAATTAATTAAATGTCTTTAATAGTGTAATATTTTATTTTTTACTTATCAGTTTTTTTTTTAAAAAGACAACAGAGAAGAAACAAAGTATAATTTAAGTAATTTTAAACAGTTTTTAAATATATTTATGAGTACAGGATTTTCAATTGGATTTATGACATGAGATTTTGTAAACATTAATTTCTAGTCTGGGATTATCGGTTTCTTTCCATAAGTATCGAATAACTTGATTAACAGGCGGCGGCTACGATGAAAATATTAAATATTTTTGCCTTTTTTTAAACAAATGAAGAAAGAACTTGAATTACATATTATTTTTTTCTTCATGAACATATTGCAGCATTTTTACTAAGTATAGTATGACAAATAATATGTTTTCGGGATTATTCGCAAGGAAGGA